AGTCACTAATTCCTGAGGCAACTTACACCCAACTTCTATTTTTTCAGGATCAGTCTAGCTTCCAGGCAAAGGAATCCACAGTCTGAGAGCTCAGCATCAACTCAGCCTGACTGGTGATTCCATACATTCTGTCCTTGACAATCTATACCAGAAACTGGACTCTTTCATTGGTTTTTGGAAACTAGCCCCTTGCTACCACCACCAGCATTTTATTCCTCACTCTCAGGAGACCATTTTCCCACATATATTTTCAATCCCTCTAAATCTAAATAATCAGCCTACTTGCCCTAACAGCCATCCTGTTGAGGCTTGTCCCTTTCCATTCTGACAGGAAAGTCTGACAGAGCCAAGGAGCTGAAGATAAGTATAAGGGCAAGGACAGGAATAATCATTGAGAAAAGCCAGTGTGCCAAGACCGCACAGGGCCAGGCTTGGCAATTGTACGGCATAGCTGAAGGGCACCAACTAAGGGAGGAGACAGGGCACAAATACCATCTTCCCAGAGCACTCTGTGGCATGAGGGTAGTTACATGGCATGCTGGCTTGTCTGCCTTCTATTGTTTCATGACATTGTGTATGCACCCAGCCAAATTGGTGAATGAAAAAGAGCTCTTGCTAACCACTTTCAAATTTAAATCCGATCAAATAGGATAGAAGTCTTAAAGATGGGTATCAGCTCTGGTGTCTGCTTTTAACTGTTTATTCCTTTCTCTTTTCTCTGCCAACACTATATAGCAAAAGCTGGGGGTGGGAGAATATATGAAAGCTTCAGGGTTTGGAAAAGACCTAAGTTTGAATCCTGACTTTGCTTCCTGTAACTGGAGTGTGTGTGTGTGTGTGTGTGTGTGTGTGTGTGTGTGTGAGAGAGAGAGAGAGAGAGAGAGAGAGAGAGAGAGAGAAGAGCGCGCACATACCTGACTTACCATAGACACTCAACAAATAATAATTATCCTTTATTTGTTGAAAAGGTTTGAAATGTTTTTGACATACCTTGTTGCAAAGGGGGAAATGAACTGTATAAAGAGAAGAAAGAAATGAGAGGATTTGGACTATATATAAATAAAAGGTGAGAATAGTGAGAGCTGTGGTTCTGAGGTAGAAAATGAAAGACACTAACTAGTCAAAGAGGGAGAAGACGCCCCCAATCCCAAGGCATTTTCAAACCACCAGAGAGCTAAGGATATTTAATAAAGAAGAATAAAGGAAAATGAAGATCAAACAATGGTGCCATTTCCATTCTCACTCAAAATGAAATGTGACAGCCTTTCTACAATGGGTTTACCAATCCAAGAGCACACAGAATTCATCAGATCCTATTTGCATTATTTCCTGCTGCTTCTTTTAGTTGACATTTATATGAATCGACTTCAGAATCCATATCAAATGGCACTTTTCCAGATTTTTCCCCATAGAATCCAAATGCAAAAATGTGTATATGAATATATTTTTACCTACGCTCTAAATGAAGGAGCTCTTTTAGCTTGTAAGGAACCTACTTTTGCCTGTGCATGTCTATGTTTTCTCATTTCTCTATGTCTATCTTTGGATTTCATTCCATCAAGGAACTCTGGGAAAATATTGTGAAGTGTCTGCATTTTTTCAACAATGCAGTGCATGGCAGTTAAATTATTAAAAACTGATCTTCAAAATGCTTGTTGAATGCTGATGACAAAGTAAGATCCTTTATTTACAGCTAGCTTAAGATTGATTCTCTGGAGGTAGCAACCTGGAGAGCATATATAAACATTTACACATATGCAGATAATATGGAGAGGCATATATGGAACATGCATTTATATACTGCTTCTAAAGTTACTGGGTGAAAGAGTTTTAGAATATATTGAGAAAAAAAATCTGGAACTTATGGAAAAACCTATATGTTAAGATCTGTAGCCAATAGAAACTAACTCACATGTAGACATGTTTGTGACTAACAATTTCTCTTATCTTGGCAAGGCCAATGGGTTCATTCTCAGTTAAGTGTGTAGATTTTTAAAAAGACAGTTTTAATACTTGGGATATAATAGTCACCCTTTTGCATCGTGACTGACAAGTGCTGGGCAACTAGAATCTGCAAACTATATAGTGACCTTGTAGAATAAAGCACCAGAACTTACCCAGGGATGCCCACATCTGAGAGACCTCACTCAGGAGGCTGATACCAGGGCTCTTTTTGGAAACTTCAGGTGTCAGCTCACACAGGTCTCTAAGATTGTTCCTTAACCTGAATGCTAGGGACCAGGTCCTGATGGGAAAGCCCTCAGGCACTGTAGGCAGTCCATTAACTCTTTCATTAATTAACTCCCTCATTTCTTAAAAAGAGCAGCTGACTGCTTCAAGCAGTTGTGACTCCTCAGACTCTTGCCTTTCCTACAGTGCAGCCTTTGTTTGCCAGAAAGCCAGATGCTTTGGCAGTCTGGCACCCACATTCTCTGTGCTGCCTGGTGCAGGTCATGTTCTTTGGGTGGCTTACATGGTATGTATACATAGCACTCTAAGCTTATCTGGCCTCTAGGTCCCTCTGTATTGCTGAGTCCCTTCTTTCTCTCCCCATTGCCTTGGTTATCACCATTATCATTATCACCTAAGCAACATCTCTGTTTCTTTTACCCTTAACCCAGCCCACTCCAAACCAGTATTACCATGGCAGCTGAAGTGATAGTTCTAAAATTCAGATCACTTTCAACTTAAAATCTTTTTGTGACTTTTTTCAGAAATCAAACCCAAACTTAATAGGCCCCACAAAAGACTCTGAAGGTCTGGCTCTTATCTTCTATCTCCAGCATCATCTCCTTGAACTCCCTGCTGACATTATAAACTTGAGCCATTATAAGCTACTTGCACTTTGTAAGCTCTATATTCTTTCACATTTTCATGACTTTGCCCATTGGTGCAATTCTAATGTATAGAATACCCCTTCTGTCCTCTTGGTGTGGCTGGTTCATCTTTAAAAAAAAAAACAGCTTTATTGAGGTAAATTCACATAACATATAATTCATTCATTTAAAATGTGTAATTCGATGGGTTTTAGTTCAGCCACAGAGTTGTGCAACAATTACCATGATTTAATGCCAGAATAACTTTGTCTCACCAAAAGAAACCTCCTATGAATTAGCAGCCACTTTCCATTTCCCTCCAACTTCATTCCCCACCCAACCCTAGCAACTGTTAATCTGCTGGCTCTCTGTATAGATTTGTCTATACCAGATTCTTCTTTAAAGATTTCTCAGGTGTTGCATCTCCCTTCCCACCCCACCCCGGGGCTTCAAAAATATCCTATGCATGGCTCTGTCTTCAATCTTACTCCATGGTGTCCTTACCTGCCTCCCCACAGGAAGTTTCTTATTCATCTCTGAAACCCTTTATCTTTATCTTTATCACTTTCTAGTACTTTGCCTGACTCATGAGCAGTACTCTATAACTATTGGCTAAACAAATGAATGATGAGGAGGGAAGCCTCTCAAAAACCAGACAGCGGTGGGAGCTTATGTGCTCATTTTCCAACTCATTTGCACTTGGATAAATTCAGCAACCACCACACTGATATATTTTCCATCTCTACCATTGCTATGCATGTTCCAGAACCTAGGGAAACATAAATATAAATAGTGTAGAAGTATATCTTCAGAAAATATTCATGATAACACAGTTTAAACTTTATCTGTTGGACTAACAGTGGCATTCTCAGGTCATCTTTCTACTTGCTCAATTTTCTGTTTATTCTTTCTCTCTCTTTCAATATTTTCTCTCTCCTTCACTCTCTAAATTTGCTTTTTTTGAAAAAAAATTTTTAGTTGTTGATGGACCTTTATTTTATTTGCTTATTTATATGTGGTGCTGGGAATTGAACCCAGTGCCTCACACATATGAGAAAAGAGCTCTACCGCTGAGCTAAACTCCAGCCCCTGCTTTTTTTTTTTAACAGATTTCAGAATATCTCTGTTTAACAATGTAGTCCCTAAAATTAAAAAAAAAATCACTTCAGTATGAGATGTCTGAACATGAATCCACTTTGAAAACTGTTTAATTTTTCCATTTCAATGCAACACATTTCTTTTTTCACAATTGGATATTAAAAAACTCATTAGCAAGGGAATATAAAACAATTTCAAAGCAAAATGGAATATAAAGATGTTCAAAACTAAATCAGCATTTTATTGACTAGAGACAAATGAGGATATATGCTGACTCTGGCCACAGTTGTCTACCTTTGTCTCTATGCCTTTCTCCCAGTTCTCATTCTTCTTTTAACCAATATTTTTCAACCCTTCCTCTCCCCTATTCCCAGCTCCTCCCTGCCTCTCTAATTCTCTCCCCTGCCCCATTTTTCTGTTTGGGCCCTTCTTTATGTTTCAATTTCTTTTTCTCCTCTACTTTCCCTTTCATTCTTCTTCTTCCTGATTAGCCTACTTTCTCTTTCTTTCCTTACGGTCCTTTTTTTCCACCTAGAATGAGGTAGCAAAGGTGGGAGGAGGTGAACAGGAAAAGAGAGGGAAACAGATCTACATCGGTATTGTCCCACTCCTACCCCATCATCTGCCACCAAAGTGGATGCACCCTGGTCTGAAGCACTTATATTTCTTGCCTTTTATGTAAGGCACATAACCTCTCTGTGCCTCACTTTTCTCCTCTCTAAAATTAAAGTAAACTAATACTTGTCCAGACTACCTCCCAGAGATGTTAGGGTCAGACCTGGGAATGAATATGAAAAGGTTTGAAAAGAAACAGGCCCCTGTGATTGGGAAGCACTCAGAGAGGGCTCTGGTGGGAAGGGTGGGAGGATGTCTGCCTTGCACTGCATAGGGACCTAATTAACTGAGGATTGCAGTTCTTGTCCTTTTCAGGAATGTGTTTCTTTTCACCTTTGTTCTGCTCATCAAATCACTTGGTTGTCTATGTGCCTTGTTTGAATGTTCTTAGTGTCTTCGGAGGGGTCGGATAACTTGCTTCTTTGTATGCTGTTGATTTTTATCCCTTCCTTTTCTCTTGCCTTGGGCTAGCAAACGGAACCTCCAGCAGCCAGCTCTCTACCCCCAAGTCTAAGCAGTCTCCCATCTCTACGCCTACCAGTCCTGGCAGCCTCCGGAAGCACAAGGTATTATGTCTCTTATACCTTACTAAACTCCTTTGCACTCAGTTTCTTGAATGGCAGGGTGGAAGTTTTCTCTTCCATTCTACTTCAATGGCATAGTAAAGCCAGAATTTCCCTTCATCTGGCTCTGCTAGCTTGATGTCCTGAGAATCCCAACAGGGATCAAGCTTCTTGTCACTTTTATTTATTCCTCAGACACCTGCTTTTTTAGATTTCCAGTTGCATCTATATCTTTTCCAAAAGGAAGAAGTACAAAGATCCCATGTACCTCCTTCTGAGGTAATTGTGTAACCAAACAATGTCTTGGGGGATGGATTGAACATTTGCCTCCCCAATTCAGAAACATAGTAAATTGATACCCTTTGAGGGCAACACCAGGTACCAGTCAAGGGAAGTAACATAAAGATAGAAGTCAAGAAACACTTGCACCAAGTTACTCCCTTTAGATTTGCTGGACATCTATGAATAGACTCTTGTTTTACTCTGTTTATTGTGTGGCAGATTCTGGTGCAGTGTTTCAAGAAAAGACACAAACATATTGCAGTGGCTTTGGCACCATTTGCACCTCTTTAGCTATCCCAAATAAATATATCATTAAGATAATAGAAGTGTAGGGGCTAGGGGACTAGCATGGAACCTTCAAGGACCTGGGTTCCATAACCAGAACCACAAGTAATAATAGAAGTACATAAATTTCCTAGCTGTACTTTCCAAGCAGATTGCTGCCCAGAAATCTCTCCTGTATAAAATATGCAAGGTGGTCACTGCCTTAAATTTCTTATACCTGAAGAATGTGTACATGGTTTCACCTCTGATGACTACACTATGAAGCAGGTTCCTCTAAAATTCTCTTGTTTTCTTCTGATTCACAAGACTTGATGTGAGATTAAGAGAGGGAAAAAAAAGGCTAACTCCATCACAGACCCATAAATGGTGACAGGTGGTGGAAGACCCCTCAGATGGAGATGAATTCATTTCATTTGATTCTTTTGCCATTTTACAGATGAGAAAATTGAGACCTAAATGGCTAAGTTACTTACCAGGAAAACATAATTAGCTATGGGACTGGTACTGAGGTCACTACCAGTGTAATGCTAGAGTCAGTTCACACTAGCTTTTGAGAGCTGATTGTGTATATCAATTCCTGTGTTCAGTAACATCATGTTGGTAACTTGAACTTGGCCACAGTGGGAATATTTACACCATGAAAATCAGTTTCTTTTCCCCATAGAAAGTCAGTTGTTAAACATTGAACAGCATGCTACTGCCTGACATCCATTTTCATTTTATTTTTTCTACATCAGACTTTTAATTTGTCTACATCAGACAGCTGTTGCCTGTCCTATCATTCCTAATGTCCATTCCATTCCCTTAATTACCCTTTAACTTCTGATATTGATCCTGACAAGGACCTTCTGATTATCCTGCTGAGCTATTTGGTTTCAGAATTTTCTGACCTGTCTCAGTAAACGTTTACTCAGAGACTGTGAGATGGATGAAAGTTACTTTTACAATTAGCTTTCAGTTATTCTTTGCTGAACACCAAAGCCTGTTAATATTCACATTCCAAAATGGGAGCAGCCTTTACTGTTGTTCTGCTGCCCATAATGAACCTCCTACGCTACGCTGCATTTTAGTATATCTTTGCCTTGTGCCTTTCTGCCCCTGCCTTCCTTCTGGGAAGTGTAATCATTACCTTCCCCAAAGTGCTAGAGGCAGCTTGGGTATTTGTTCTGCACACTTGAGTCGTTCAACTTTTCAACTGACATGTCTGGTTCATTTAGGCTGAAGACCCATCATCCATAAACCCATTGAGGTGAGTGTTGGTATTGTTAAACCGTTTCTCCTGGTTGGGCTTGCAGGAACTTGTGGCTTGCTCGTTTTTTGTTTTTTTTCAATATAAGTCTAAAAATGATTTTAATTATTGAAGGACTAGAACAAGCTCACAAGTGGCAGCATTACAGGGCCTCACTATTTTCTTCACTGTGGAATTTTCAGTGTATCATTTTATTAAAATTATTCTTCCTTAAGACTGTTTAAAAAACAAACAAGTAATAAATCATAGAATTTTCTAGAACAAACTGTAAAATAAAATAAACATTTGAATTTTTATATAATGCACTATTTAAAAAACTTGCTATTTTTATATCTTTTCAAACTTACAAAAAAGGTTGAAGGATTGGGCTGGTGTTGAGGCTCAGTGGTAGAGCGCTTGCCTAGCATGTATGAGGCACTGGGTTTGATCCTCAGCACCACACAAAAATAAAATAAAGATGTTGTGTCCACCTAAAAACTAAAAAAAAAATAAATATTAAAAAAAGTTTTAAGACTAATAAATGCTTCTGTATTTCCTTTGTACAGATTCACCAGCTATTTTTATTTTTCCCAAATTATTGAGGATTCCCTTTGGAGATAAAATCACCTTTTTGTGTGTTCTCTCTCCCTAACCTCACAGACATACCTATATGCATTTTACTATTTTTCTGAATCATTTGAGATTAAGTTGCAAACATCATGCTCCTTTACGCTGAATGCTAAAGTGTGTATTTTTTAAGAACAAAAGTATTTTCTTTCATAACCACAATCAGGAAATTTAACACTGACATAATACAGTCTGTATTCAAACTTTGTCAATTCTCAGTAATGTTCTTTTTCTGGTTCAGCATCTAGGATAGAACACATTGCATTCAATTACACTTTCCTTGTGGTCTTCTTTAATTTGGAAAAGTTCCTGAGACTTAATCTTTTGGTACAGTATGTTATAGAAAGGAAGAGAATAGGTCAGTTACTTGGTAGAATGTCCTTCAATTTGAATTTGTCTGCTATTTCCTTGTGATTAGATTCAGATTGTGCATTTGGAGCCGGGCTATCATAAGAATGATGTTGCATCCCCCTCAGTGCATCCTATTGAGGGGCAATAAGCCTCATGCTTACACCAGTAATGAAGCTTGAAATTATTTTTCTGTGTAAGCTAAAATGTGTCTTGTGACCTTGGCTCAATCTCCCTGGGTCTCAGGTCCCAGCTTCATACCCCTCCTTTCACACAGGTACCTGAGCCTTAGAACTATCAATATCCCAGGGCAGTGGGCCTGAGCATATCTCATCTGAACTTCTATCCAAGTGAACCTGAAAGGTGTGAGTCATGGTGGAGACAGGAAGCAGGTGGCTGAGGCCGTGACTTTCCTCCTGCACAATTGGAAACAAACTTGGAGTCCCAGAATCCCTTTGGTAAATTTTGATGGCTGTGATGGGGCCCTAAGCTGTAATCAGCCTTTTGGCTTCTCCTCTTAAGCAGCTCATGGAGAATCCTTAATGCAGCTGCAATGGGGTTAGCCAAAGTCCGCATACTCAAATGCTACAATATGGACACAAAGTAAATCTTCGGGTACTTAATGAGAACAACATTTTACATTTCTATAAAGGTTCAGCCTTTTCCATAGTCATTTCTCCTTTTCCCTTGTTATATTCCTGTGGAAGAGATAGAGCAGATAGTATTCCCATTTTGTAGATGAGAACAAAGAGGTGCAGAGATTAAAAACAGCTTCAGTACGATTCAACAAAAAAATTATTGAGGATCCCCTTTGGAGATAGTACCACCTTCAAGATCTTAAAAAATTAAAATCAGGGAAACTCGTTCAATTAAAAGTTTTCCCAGATTAATAATTGCACCCATGGCTTTAAATTTGGAGGCATTTTGTCTGCAAAGTATCTAAACATAACATATTATCTGAATATATATCTAACATTATTTAAATATACATTTTCCTTTATGTTTCCAAAAATTCTTTCTTCTTTCTAGAAGTGGCCAGGGAGATAGCTGGATGAATAAAACAGAGTCCTGACCCCTAAATCACAAGGGCAAAAAATCTAATATGCATGGCTGTGCATAGTGTAATGGAGACTAAGAAAATTGACTGCAAGAGGACAAAATAGGGTGGGAAAGACATCAGACTGGGGGAGGGTGGGAGATGGGGAAAGCTTTTCAAAGAAGTGACATTTAAGTGGGGCCTTGAAGACTGGGTAAGCTTTTGATGGCTGGTAAAGAGAACAGGCATTTCAGCTTTAAAAAAATAAAAACCCAGGAAGAACAAAGTCACGCCACCATAAAAGTACAGCATTCATTTGAGAAATAGCAAACTCAAACTAGAAGCCAGTTTTTTCAAAACTCTTTCCTGATTTCCTTTGGACTATAAGCTCCTTGGACCAGAGACCAATTTTTTTTTTTTTTCTCTAACGCAAGAGTATCTCCAGCACAGCTGTATTTGTTACAAACATTTTGTTCTGTAGGGCTCCAAGGGACTAAGCAAATGAATTTCAGGTGCAAATTATTTGTATTGTTAAGCAATATGTGTGTTTCTGTATTTCTACATATCAATCAACAAAACCAGAATGTTAAGATAATTCTTTTTCCTGAACATTGTTCTACCCACACAAGAAAACACATTTTGAATGTGAAATAAATTGATGAAGGTACAGAGGTTCAGAAGTTCATGCCTAGCTCTGGTCTTGTGAATTCTCTTCTTAGCCTTTACCTCTAACCCATTCTAAGTCACAGCAGCTCCAAGTGAGTTGCCTCACAATTCTACCCTATGCCTTCACCCATTGTTCCAATACAACTTCACTAAAGTATCTGTTACTTGAAAATTAAGAGCAGAGATAAACAGTAAAGCCCAGTGAGTTAGTATGATAAGACTCAAAGTGACCTTCATATTTTTAAGAGCACTTTTGTACTGCCTGAGAAATATCCAGGGATTTTGTTAACTTGGCAGTACCCATCTCATTCTTGTGATTTAGTGCAACTAAAGAAAAAAATGTAATTATTATATTTTATAGAATTTTAGCACCAAAAGGAACATTAAAGGTCTTATAGTTTATAAGTTCCTCAATTTTCAGATGTAGAAAGCAAAGGCTTGGAAGAGGAAGTTAAATAGCAGAGTTGGGCCTAAAATTTGAGTCCCATGACTCTTAATCCTGTGCTTTTTCTACTACAGCAAAATTTCATT